GACGGACGCCAGCTCACTAACAGTCGCGGGAGACCCCCAGCTAACACCACCTAGCAGCACAACTTGTAACTACAAAGCATGCGCGCGCAACAGGTCGGTTCCGGTTATTTTTGGGTCCCCCCTCGTATGCAATCACTTCATCAGATGCCACATTTCCTCATCCATGAGCTGCCAACAGTTAACTGTTTGTTACCAAACATTCCTTACATCCCTTCAACAGAATATCTTGTGAAAGAAGTTATGATTTACAGCCACCTTGCTCTACTGATATTATCCTGAGTGATTTACTCTTGTTGGGATATTTAAGGACACAGCCTATCAAACAAATCTTCACATATGAGAACTCAAAGAAAACATAGCCTGTAGTGCCCTGTATATCCAAAGAACTATGCTGTGTGGGCAAAATCTATTTAAAAGATGTGGAGAATGTATCTGAGCCAATGGGCAACATTTTCAGCACCTGCTATAAGGTAAGTGAATTTCACTATGCAAAGCTTCTGCAGTGACACTATGACCAGAGCTGATCATGTAGGAAATGTGGTAACCAACAAAGTGCTTGTGCAAATAAGAAAGAATGTGCATCAGCACAACTGCCAAAACTCATTGTGCTAAACACAGTAGTCGTTTCAAGAGTACATTTATTTCAATATCCTAAGATATTCTATATAAAGTTCAATCTTAAACTTTTTATAAAATCTGTTACACCTGCCAAAAACGAAATCTATGATGTTACATGGTTATCTTTTAAAGCATGTGGGCTATGCATTATTATTTCATGATAATTCCCTCTAGAAATAAGTGAAGTAATAAGTAAAAGTGTACAGATTATGTCACTGACAGAATTATCATTTTACATTTTAACACCCACATGAAAAATTTTGAATGAAAGTATATTTATGCTCTCATGAATCTTTTTCACTACACTATGCTATAATTATGTCCTGCTTAGATTTAAAACCAAAGAGCATGTGTTCTGGATCAACTACATGCATTCCTGTTCATGTTTTGCAGGTAAACTATGTACTGTCTGCTGCCCAACACATAAAACTGTTTAAAATTTATATTATTCTTTAATTACATGGCTATGTCATGGTATTTGAACACTTCCGACTGCAACAACTGACTTCATAATATAATATTTTACTTCATTTACGATTAAGAGTGAAGAATTTCATTTCAATCTGAACAGCGCTGCAATGCTTGTTGGTACCTGGGTTGTTTGCCTGTTGTTCATGGAGCTGTAGCTCCTGGGAGTCTCCTATCGTCTGGTCCAAGACAAGTGACAGGAAGCGAGCATTGACATGAGTGACACGTTTTATAAGCGAGTAGAGGGCTACTGTCCTCTCACACTCATTCCACTGATCAAACCAGGACGAGATTGTGTTCACCTGCTCTCGGAACATTTCGCAGAAAGAGCTACAGCATATCCTCTTCCCACTGCCCATCCTGCAATCAAACCATTGTGAAGTTTCACTACACCCTGTTTTCACTTTTCAGCAAAATAACATATCACACATTTTACACTATACACAGACCACCACAACAGCTAACTATCTGGCCTATTAAATAAAAAGGGTGCCATTAATATTTGTAGACTTAATTCTGACAACTGAATTTACATTGAACCCTTCAGGAATGCCTCTGCCTCTGCTGTTGCTGGAAATTTTTCATCTCCCCGCCAGGGAAGTGTTGCATCTATTAAATCAAACAGATAAGGCCAAAACAGCATGCTTGCACCTGATTTGATTGGCAATTCTTCTGACTCGATGATAAAGGAATGATTCAATGGACTTCCCCTTGTTTCTTTCAGGAATAATCTGAAGAGTATTTAAAGGAAGCAAAATGTGCAATTGGCAAAGTCAATCCCTGTTGATGTTAATAACACCAATCTTTCATCCTCTCATGGAGTGTAATGGGATGAATGACTGTAGAGGCCTTGGGCAGATCTAGATAAGATATATTATGGTTAAGACTCAGTATGATATTTGACTTGTGTGTGCATGTGTGTCAGTGTATAGCCATACATACATACTGTGTATATAGATGGATGGATCCCAATTACCTTGAAAATAGATATCAAAGAACAATTATGAAAGATATTTAACTTAATAAAGTATTTTCAAAATGGGAGCAGGTCAAACATGGAGTTCCACGAATTGGGACCACTATTATTTCTTATTTCCATAAATGATTTCCCATTTTCCTTAAAGAAATTAGCTTAACCTATATTATTTGCGGATGACACAAGGATTATTATATCTAATTCGAGCCCTGAAGAATTTAGAAGTAATATTATTTTATTAATGAAATAATGACATGGTTTAATAGGAACTTTTAAACTCTAAATTGTGATAAAACACATTTCTTACAATTATTTTTAAAAAAGCATAGAGAAATAGAAATTCAAATTACATCAACCAACTCATTAATTACTAACATCAATTCCACTAAATTTTTGGGAATAAATATTGATAGCACCCTGTCTTGGAAGAATCAAATTACTGTGTTATCATAAAGATTAATTAAGGCCTGCTTTGCAATAAGGGCAATAAAGCCCTTTATGTCATTAGATTCAATAAAGATGATTTACTACTCTTATGTACATTCGATACTGAAGTATGGCATTATCTTTTGGGGTAATACCCCCCTTAGTATGAGTATCTTTAGAATTAAAAAAAGAATCATAAGAGTTATGTCTAGTTCAGGCAAATTTGATTCATGTCGGGATTTGTTCAAAAAATTACAAATATTGCCACTCCAGTCTCAATATATTTTTTCCTTGCTTCTTTTCGTTATTAAGAATGAAAATTACTTTCCATCTAACACGGATATTCGTGATATTAATACCCACTATAATTATAATTTATACTTACCCTCTAAAAATGTATCAATAGTACAAAAAGGAGTGCTGTTCTCTGGAAGCAAGATTTATAATCACTTACCTTTGAATATTAAATTGTTATCTAAAGACATTACGCAATTCAAATCTTTATTGAGAAGCTCTCTCACTGAACATGCATTTTATAGCATTGATGAATTTTACAAAACAACTTCCCAATGAATACCTGTACATTATTTAGTTAATAGTTGTAATTTATTACAACTGTGAACAGAAAAATGTCCATACATATCCCTTCCTGTACTTGTTTTGCATGCCATGTTTACTGAAGATAATGCTAAAGTTCTTACTCATACGAGCAAAATAACCTTTCTCATGGCTGTAACGAAGTCTCAAACCTTCTACGTGCTCCTGTTCAGCCAGCAGCAAATTAAAATTGTATTGCGTTGATTTGGTTTGTTGTTATGAATATTTTTAATTAATAACAACATGAATAAAAACGAAAGGTGGTAAACATGTGTAAAACAAAAGTTAGGATTGAAAAATTTCAATAGGGAGTATCAGTCACACGTGTTTATGAAGAACAAGGTGTGAAGAAAACAGACTGTCAAATACTCTCCATACAAAAGATAAGTTAAAAATTCCATCATGCAGATCCTCCAATTTAGCCAAGAAAACATATGAAAATGGCACAGGAATCTTCACTGGAAGATGCTTTGTTCAAATGGTATGTGCAATGTTCTTGCAGTGTTAATGTAGTTAATGTATGAGGGGCAGAGTTGTACTCTCCATCAAACAAAAACAACTCTGTGGTTTCAGTCCAGAAGCGAATTATGCCAACAGAGCGACCACTACTTGTCAAAGAAGTTAGTGTCAACTTTAGCGGAGAGAGGGTATCACATGGTAAGCACAACAAATCCCCACGGTCATTAATTTCAGTATTCTAGACCGGAATCTGCATCAAACATGCTAGAAAATCACATGAAAATCAATTTCAAAGTGAGTGAAGGGTGGTTTTGGCGATTTTGCAAACGGCATGGAATTATGAATATAATGGACTTGTGGAGAAGCTCCGAGCGCCCCGACAGAAGAGACAGAACCATTTTTTAAAAACATGAAATTTTCTTAAGTCTCTTATCCACAAAGCGGATGAGACTGGTATGTTCTGGCGTTCACTTCCAGAAAACACCTAAAGCCTATAGACGTGAAATGTCAATTCATCGGAGAAAACTAGGAGAGGATTTCGACGTTATTTTGGGCAAGCCCTGATGGTTCTCATCGATTGACCCCAATTACTCTTGGTAAATCAGGTCGCCCAAGAGTCCTAAAAGCTGTCTCGATTTAAATCTCACCTCGACTATTCGATCACCTTTATTGACTCATCATGTGACCTCACTCTTCTCATCACATTCGACACTATACATGTTGTCTCATTACCGCGTCATATTTTACAGGATGGTTTCTGGATATTAAAATATGCAAAAAAAAAAAAAGTCCATACGAACATGCATCCTGCGGGTGTTTCACAGAAAGTTACAGCTTATTTCAATTTACACAGTGACAACTCAAACACTTCCTGAATTTAATGGACTGTGTATAAGACGAAAACAAATGAAAGAGCTATTACCAACCATTTTGTTTTTACTTTCTTGCAAGTGTTCGAAATGGCCTCCACGTTCGGACAGCTCAGGTCTTTGCGAAAAGGAAACTTGCAAGCGTTCGATGATACCCGACGTATTTTTTATTTCACTTGAAAAATGTTAAATTCGCCGTCACAGTCCCTCTCGCTCCAGTATCGACCATAATGGCATAACCTTGGTTTTTAAATACCTCCACAAAAAATAATCGAGAGGATTCAATCCAGCAACAAACAAAACAAACTCCGTGGCTCGAGTCCGCAAGCGAACAATACCGACCGAGCGACCGCCGCTTGCCGACGAAGTTAGTGCCAACTTTAGCGGATAGAGGGTGTTGCGTGGTCAGCGCAACGAATCCCCACGGCGGTTAATTTCGTTTTCTAGACCGGAGCCGCTACTTTTCCATTCAAGTAGCTCCTCAATTATCCTCACGTGGCTGAGTGAACCCCGTTCCAGACACACTACTTCTCGGGGCGCCGGGAATCGAACCCGGGACCTCTGGATCTGTAGCCAGGAACTCTTGACCACTAGACCACAGAGGCGGTCACGATCCAGCGTCGAGGTTAATTTTCGGCTGGCCACTGACACACACCTCCAGACTGTAATGCGGTGGAGCACAGTCGCGTTAAAACCACATATGAAGACGTGTATTGGACACTTCTTCCAACAGCCCCCCCCTCTACATACGTTGGAAGAAAATGAGGATAATCGTGACTACCAACTCGTGACGGCTCACGAGGCAGTCACTTAAAATTGTTGGAAAACTGTCGCCGCTGATGAAATCAAATGGCATATCGATTTTCAGCCGACCACACACTTTCCTTGTGAATACTAGTAATTTGTGCAGCAAGATTCGACCGTGAATTAACTCTCTGCTGTAAACGGTGGGCTTCTCGCCGACTGTTGCAAAATCTATGAAGAAAATGCACGCCTCGCAGGGGCATCTTGTGAATGTGACAATACAACCGATGTTCTTGTAATGTATTGTACAGCGTACACTGTACGAGCTGCAAGATGGTACCGATGGTAAGCTGTCTTTCAGCGACTTCGAGGATATGCTCTTCCATCCATACATAATGTTCAGAAAGTAGGAGGCCATAATTCCATCGTATCCCGCGACTTGATCTCGTCTCTCAGTTAACAGAAAGAAAAGTACGACAATTCCGCACTCTCTAATTACGGTATTTTTCTTCGTACCTTCCAACAGCATCCGTAATATTTCCGTTGCCCTCTCCTAGCACAAGATGCATGTCCACTAATTCAGGAAATGAGCAGCCACTTTCCATGCTGGATCGATATGTAACGTGCTCTCCCAAGCTTGGATTGTTTCAGCCTGATTCGGAATCTAATATCTAGTAGTGTCTATCCACTGTACTACAGTATTGCCTGTTACTAGTACGACTGTTAAGTACCATTAAGGCCGCCATGGCTGAAGCGGTTAGTCTCTGGCTTCCCACCGCAGCGGCCCGGGTCCGATCACGGGTCTGGTCCAGTGGGATTTGTGGTGGACAAAGTGGCGCTGGGGCAGGTTTTCTCCGAGTACTTCGATTTCCCCTGCCAATCTTCATTCCACCAATTGCTCCACAGTCACCCTCACCTATCATCTGCGGCTGGTACAATAGGCCAGAAGTGGCCGCAGTACAAGGGACTTAGTCCCACCCCCTTAGCAATAAAAACAGTATCGTAAACTTCAACACAAAATTCAACATCAAATGGACTTTCATGACCGTTCCTCGAAGGTCGCTTTTTAAAAATGTGACTGCACGATCTAACATTTCTAATGGTTATATCTGTTTAAGGAAGGATCTCAGGATATATTGTTCTGTGAACGCTTTTACTTACTGAATGTCCAGAATACGACCTGCAACGGATGGTACGTAGGAATCGTACCTTGTAACTAAATACCGTGACAACCACATCACGTATACACGTACGGAAGGCTTCCAAATTTTCGTGTCTCGTCTAGAGAC